AGTGACAGAACTGGTGAGTATTTGTTCAGTTCTGTTGAGCTGGTATTAAAGATAGCAACTTCTGCATAAACTGGGATGCGAAGAGTGAGGGGATAAACAAGTTCTTTCATCGTTCCAAGACTCAGTATGTTTCTAAAACAGATAACATTCCATATGCAATGAAATTTCTTGTTTGTTCTGTTTGGCAGATGAAAAATCTTTATTCAAAACTTAAATGGTTCTGTGTTGGTTCAGTCTTTCATTTAACAATCTATTTGCCATGCCTAGAGAAGATTGCTTCCTTCTTAGAGTCATCCTTAGTTTGCCAGAGTTATTTCTGTTAGCTTCATATTCCATTCAAAGCATACTCTTAACTGAACTCTTTTTTGCTTGCAGCTTGTGAATCAACTGTTCAGCTGTTGTTTGATGCAGTTATACATTTAGGATGTAAACCATACCTGGACAGCCAGAGAGCTGCGTGTATGTGTCATTATGAGGGTAAGACAGATCTCTGAAAGAAGATACATGGTGTAGAATGAAGATTCAGTTGAACTGAAGCAAGTCTTTGGTTACAAAGCCTTATGCTTTTCAGACAGTAATATCTTAAAACGCTGACATGAATATTCTGATTTGAAAAATCACTACGATATTCTTATTAATGTAAAAAAGAAACAAGTCTCCTTTCTCTTCTATTTTGTGCCAGAATCTTGGAAACTGAAATTTGTTTCCTTTGGCGTATGTCTGCTCAGGGCATGTTACTGTACAACACTACAGCACTAGTATACAACACTAGTGCCATTTCAAAGTTTTTAAGAAAACTCAATAATGGGGACATCAGAAGCACTGAAGAGTCACATTGAATTATCAGATGATTTTTAATACAGGTCAAATTTTAGGTTTACTAGATGCATCTGATGGATACAACAGCAAAGAGTGTTTTGTGTACATCTATATGACATCTTAAATAGCCTATACTTCCGTGTTTCTGGTACAATTGCCTTCAGTTCTCTCTGATATATGCTGTCCTATGGGTTTGTTGTTAAAAAAGCAACCAAAGTACCCCAAACCTGTATACATCTACACTACATTTCTATCTGAATCTGTATCAACCTTAATTCTGCAGCACTTTTCAGATCGAATATGTTGATCCTTTTAAGGCTTGACCAGTAAAATGAACAGCTTGCAACCTAAGGATATACTTTTGATTTGATAAAATGGTGAAATGTAGTTTCTACGTTATGTTTAAAAATTCATCAAATGTCTATTTTTAAATAAAATATTTTGTGTATTATATGCACGGAAAGGATATAGTGTTCAAACATGTTGATTTATATTTGTCTTGTGGCACAAGTTGGCTACTGTACTTATCTTTGCCTTCATTTAGTATGTTCTGATGAAAACTAAAAGCAAGTTCAACAGTTAAGATCAGTAAGCCCAACAAACCTTTTTATTTAAGATGTCCTCTGTGAGGCTGATGGATATTGGAGCCTTTATTTTTGTCATCTGTTCCCTTGACCTCTGTGAGGCTGAGCAACATCTGAGCCTTTACTTCTGTCATCTCTTCTCACTCTGACTTCTCTAGCTAAAATCACCTGATACATGAATTATTTGGGATTTGTTCTCTGTACTCAGCTTTCGCTGCTGATCTACAGGTCTCAGGCCTTAACTTCTGCATTAGTTTCTCTGTTAAAATGATTTGCTTTCATGTGGCCCTGATTCTGCTTTAGATATCCACAGCAGAGGAGTGAAAATTAAAATACTACATCTGTGAACAGGGAATAGAAACCATGCCAAATGCATAAAATTTACTGGACTTATAGACTATAATGTGATTTCTCTACTGGAAGGACTTTTATATGTTTTTTTCTTTACCAGTTGTATTTTTGATTTGTTTGTCACTGGAGCTTACTCTACATGACACTGAATGTGCCTCATTAAAAAAAGTTCCTGCTAAAGTTCTTTAGCCATGCTTCAAAGTTTCGTTTCTTATTTGTGGATATGAAATAGCACTACAAGAGAAGTAATACTTTAGAGTTTTACAAAACTGAGCTTGATGAACTTGTGGTTCCTTTAAATTTGGTGAAATTTATTTTCTACCATAAAACTGAAACAACTCTGAATTACTCTGGAATTCCATGGTTGTAACCCTAAAAATCTTTTAACACCAAAGCAGGGAATGGTAATGGCATTGCTTGTTTAAAATAAAAAGAAGTGCCACAGAGTCCAAAATGCTGTAATTCAGCTAAGTGGCTGTTGAGTTCGGTACAGATGGGCTTAAACTGGATGCTTAAATGAAGGCATGTCCTGGTTTTGGATGGGATAGAATTAATTTTCATCCTAGTATCTGGTGCAGTGCTGTGTTTGGGTGTGGTGTGAGAATAATGTGGATAACACACTGATGATTTAGCTGTTTCTGAGTAGCACTTACCTTAAATCCAAGACCTTTTAGTTTCCTGTGCTTTACCAGTGAGCAGGTGCATAAGGAGGAGGGAGGAAGCAGGGCCAGGATAGCTGCCCCACACTGTCCAAAGGGATGTTCCATACCATAGAGTGTCATAAATGGGGGGAAGTTTGTATCCTGATCAGCCAGGAGGCACTGATCACTGCTCGGGAACTGGCTGGTCATCCATCACTGGGTGGTAAGCAATTGTACTGTGTGTCACTTGTCGGTCTTGGGTTTCGTTCCTCTTTATCCTTTTCATTTTTTATAATTTTTATTTATTTTATTTCAGTTATTAAAGTGTTCTTTTCTAAACCCTTGAGTTTTACTTTTTCTGATTCTCCTGCCCATCCTCTGTGTGTGTGTGTACACATGTACTTAGTTGCTGGCTGGGGTTAAATCACAACTACACAGAAAATTTTCATTATTGGAAAGAGCTGGTTTTTGTTCCCTTCTGTATTGAGCTGTAATTATACCATGAAAGCATTCCAGAGTTTCCTTCAAATCATATATAATGCTAAAGAGAGTTTTAATCCTGCTGGATGGCACTTCATAGTTCTGTTTGCAAACCATAGGAAGCATACCAGAGAATCTTTACTTTGCCCAAGTTTTTCCTGTAGCAGAAATCCTTGATTATTGTTATCTGCAAATTATACAAAATGCATCTTGCAGACGACAGCTAGCCTTCATTTTAGGAGTATCACCCCCAGAATTAACTTACATATTTATATATATATGTTTATGTATACATATACGTAAAAAATGTAATGTTTGTCCTGGTTTTGGCTGAGATAGTTAATTTTTTTTTTTTCCTAGCAGCAGACACAATGCCGTGTTTTGGATTTAGGATGAGAGTAATGTTGATAACACACTGCTTCTCATACTGCCCTGCCAGCGAGGAGGCTGGGGGTGCACAAGTAGAGTTGGAAGAGGACACAGCCAGGACAGCTGACTCCAGATGACCCAAGGGATATCCCACACCATATGGAATCATGCTGAACGGTCAAACTGGGAGGGGTGGGAGGGGCAGTTGGCCAGGGAGCGGCACTGATCACTGCCTGGGGACTGGCTGGGCATACGCTGGTGGGTGGTGAGCACAAACTTTTCTTCTTCCGACTGCAGTTCTAATCCATCCATAATGTTTTTTCCAAAAAATACCCACTTACAGTGGAGCTACTGCAACAATCCAAAAGTGTTTCAAAACATATGCCTCAAAACACATACAGACGTGTAACAAAAAACTTGCATATAATGCACACCAGCCAAACGCTACCTCAGGCTTCATACATTGCGGTCAAGTTACTGGTGAGTCATCTGAACACCGCATCTGACTGACTGTGCTCTTAGCCTCCAACAAAACAAAGCAGAGAAAAAGTATGTCTTGTTAGGATGTGAGCAAACTGTTGGACTGAGGAACATGGCTGATACGAGTTCAAACTGCTGAACACAAAGCTCTTACACAGAGTCCTAGATTAAGGTTCTACAGCTGCTACTTCACACAGGATTCCCTAGTGTGAGCTGAGAGAGCTGGGATTAGCAGTTGCAAAAAACCCAAAATGAATCTGCTTGATAGGAGTCTAAATGTTACACAGTGGAAGATACAAAACTCTGACAATAATACCATGTTCTAGCTAAAGTAAACACAAAGACAATTTAAGCAACAGTTTTATCTCGATCCAGGTGCCTTTTGGCAGTCTGAAGGTAACAAGTCCAAACAGGCGGAAAAATAAGCAAAGGTAAGTAGAAATACCTGTGGCTTCTTCAACCAAAAGAGGAGACATCTTGTCTGAAAGATTTACCCGTGCAAGAAAGAAGCCTGTGGAAAACCAGACCAAACGGACTGGGTAAAAACGCTTAGAATCCCACTCTGAATCTGCCTTCTTTTGGGCGTGTAGCAGCCACCTCTAAGTGCATATTCGCGCCCGAGTTTATCCTAGACCCTGCCTAGAAATACACTGGATAGAAAATTCAGTTCCCTCCACTGTACAAAACTGTAAAGCTCTTATACAGTTTGGTTGGTTTTTTTGTTTTGTTTTGGTTTTTTTTTTTTTTTTTTTTGTCACTGGCTTTGGTTTAGAAACCTGTGTCTTATGCAACTGATCCAGCGAACAGTAAGTGCATATAATTAACCGGTTGGGAATATTGGGACTTAAGATACTTCGGCACTCTCTTCAATATCTTGTCACACTCCTCACAGTTCTGAAATCGTCACCGAGAGCCGATGCAAGAATAGAGAAAACGCATTTCGAGGAGCGGGAGTTTGACAGGAATAGAAAGCCCCCCGTAAGGGGGCTTAGAGGGCAGTTTTGAAGAACCTCCACTAGTAAATACAGGAGCTTCTCACCACGCTTCAGGACGATGATTTTGTCTACGGCGGCGCAGTTACTCAAGCACGGCCGCTGAGGTGCCCGTCACGGGAGCGCAGGGCACAATTCGACACATCACCCTTCGGTTCTCCCGGCCGCCTCCCGCCCCACGGACACTTCCCCCATGGCTCGCCCCGTTTCTTGCGGAGGCGGCGGCCGGAGCCAAGGGCGACAAATGCCCGCCCCCGTATGGAGAGGGGCGGGCCGACCCCGGCACGGCACGGGAAGGAAGGACTCGGCTCGGCTCGGCTCGGCTCGGGTTCAGCAGCGGTTCCTTTGTCCACCGTCATGTCGGCACCGGAGCGCTCGGCAGGTGGGTGGGCGGCGGGGAGGGCGCGGGGCATGGGGGTGGGGGATGCTGCCGGAGCCAGCGGCGCGCAGGAGGAGCGGGATGGGGATGTCTGAGAGGGGCTGCGGGGAGAGGGGCCCCACGGGCACCCGTGGCGTGGCAGCGCTGCCCGGAGGGCGCTGCCGGCGCTCGTGGGGAGCGGGACCTTCGCTCCCTTTCCCGTCCGGAGGAGGAAGGGAAACAGGGAAGGTGGGACGTGCGGAGCCAAAGCCGGCGGCGGCCGACGCGGAAATAAATGTGCGCGGAAATGGATCTGCACGCAAAGCCCAGCGCACCCCGGCGAGGGGAAAGTCCCACCGCAGGGCGAGGGACGGGGACAGATCGCCGATGTGTAGTGGGAGTTCAAGGGAAGACAGGGCAGCAAAACTAGGGGAGTTGAGTGCATTACCTGATTTTTGATTCCTCTGAAGAAAGGAAGATCTAAGGCAAGTAGTCCCATTGAAAGCAATCAGCTTTTAGAACAAAAGTGTGTAAGACAAGCAGAAAACTTTCATGAATCATGGTAATTCAAATAGTGTTTACTTGAATGAAGCTGCAATATAGACTCATAGTCGGGTTGGAAAAGACCTCTGAGATTATCAAGTCCAACCCTTGATCCAACACTGCTGTGGTTACTCGACCATGGCACTACGTGCCACATCCAGTCTCATCTTAAAAACCTCCAGGGATGGAGAATCCACCACTTCCCTGGACAGCCCATCCCAGCCTGATTACCCTCTCTGTAGAGAATTTCTGCTTACTATCCAACTTAAACCTCCCCTGGCAGAGCTTAAGACCGTGCCCTCTTGTCTTACTGATAGCTGCCTGGGAGAAGAGATGAACCCCCACCTGGCTACAACCTCCTCTCACAGCTGATCGATATTTGCCAGTGGGAAGCTTCAATGTAAAAAGTAACACAGTCCTTTGAGCCACCATCCTGTGCTTCAACATTAAGCTTCTAAAGCCAAGTCCAGATTTCTGCAAGTTTATTCTGGTGTCTTTATGAACTTTTCTCCTCTATCAACACAGAGCTACGTTATTTTTGCGAAAGGCTTTAATAACATGAAAAACAGATGTGAAAAGGTAATGTTGTATATACAAAGCAATTTGCAAAATATATGTGTATGTGACTCCTCTTCTAATTGCAGGCCACGTCCAGTTGGATAGCAGACCTGTATTATCCACCAAAGGTATAGTATAGTATCTAGTTTTCATAATGTGTTAGTTAGTCTCCACCAGCAGAAGTTGCAATCTTATAGCCCACTGGATAAGTGAAAGGAATACATATTTTGGCCTAAACATCTGCAGGTCTGTAGTTCTGCCCACTCCCACGATGTGCACATTCCCCATTGTTCCCACATTGTTACCTTTATGTCCATTCTGTTACTGGACACCCTTAGGTCTGTATAGTTTAGCACTCGTGCATTTTTAAATAATATAAAATTGTAACTATTTAGACTCTTTAAAAAATACAGCCAGTGAGTTAATTATATACAATCATGATCTCTGAATTATGCCTATATAGGTACAGATGCACAGACAGATAGAAAATATGCATGTTTTGACAATCTAAAATTCACACTGTGAGAGTCAGAACTTCAGAACAGCCACCAAAAGCTGTGGGTGCAGACAAATGATAATGAAGCTGTTTAACTGCATGCCTACTTACCTGATGTGTAAAGGAGCTTTTGGTTCCCACTAACAGCTAAACTGTAAGGCTGGATGCATAAGTTCAAATTGTTTCTGTTTAGTGAATGACTTTGTGGCTAAATCACTTTTTATCTCTAACAGATGGAAACCAGAACTTCACAGAAGTAGATGCATTCCATACAAGGTAAAATTCTGGCGGCAGACAGAGATGGCCCACGGCACTGAAATCAGTGCAGGGTTTTCTGATTTTTTTTTAAGAACGTGATGGGATTATTCAATTCAACTCCACCAAATTACAGAACACGTTTCTAATTTTAGCTACACCTGATGCAGAAGCACCCTTATTGTGAAGGCACGTGGAAGGGACTACTAGGAGTGGACTCCTTTTATGTTAGGCAACGTGCAGAGACTGTGGCAAAAATACCATCACAGTCTAAGGAACAACTGGACAGACTAAGTAATAGATTGTAGCACAAGAATATATTCCTCTAGAAGGAGGGGAAAGGGACCATGGGATAGTGATTCCACTGATTTTTCCTATTCCACCTTGCAACATCATCTAGCCCTGGAAACAGTAAACTACCTGCCTGATAACTCTATTTGCCTCACCCATTCAGGAAATATAACTGAGCAGAGAAAGAATTATGGAGGGAATCATCTTTTAATGGTCATTCACAGGATCCAGGGACCTGTTTGTCCAAAATCCCTACCAGCCATGCACCTAGCCAAATCCTAAGGAAGAGAAATTGCCAAAATACGAATAAATTCTGGTACTGGCACAGGTGAAATACCATTCATAATTACAAGGCTAAAGTCTATAATCTTTGCATGTTATCATGTTAAGTACTCAAGCACCCAGCTTCTTATACTTGTTCTCCAGCCAACATTGTTGAAACCCCCAGACTTTAAACAGTCATCTAAAATTCCTGTTCTCTGAATTCTTACGTAGTCATTAGCAAAAGATGTTTCATTAAGGGGCTTCTCACAATGAAGTGGAGAAACAGAAACAGTTTATGGATAACTACAGTAACTTTGTTGTGAAACAAAGCATTTTGCTGATGAAACTGTGATCCTGAAGTAGCGTCTGCAGGCAAATACTCTAGCCAACTTCTTCCACTAATTGAACCCAACCTGAATATTCCATAGCAGGAAAAAACAGTAACATGGCAAAAATGGCTCTGACTAGAGCCATTTGTAGAAGCAGCATGACATGGACTGTCATTTTGTACACCTGTTCTGTCCTTGCTATTACCAGTGGTGTCACCAGAAGTGTTTTAGTTTCCATTTTCTGCACCAATAACCATCTTCAAAAGCAGAAAGACTGACTGCTTTGTCTCTTAAAATACAGCCATGTCAACATTTGGAAATGATCTTTTGGATCCAAGTGTTGGCATGACTGCGGGTCCACAGACAAGTCCAGAGCATGCTGTTACATGCTTCTATGTTGTGTTTTGCTCGTAAACCAATAAAATTAGTCCCAAACACACAGGTACTCCATGCTTTTGTTGCTATGATATAGTCCTCTAGTTAGAAGCTGGGTAGGTCATTTATTCTGTCCTCTAGAGAACACCTCTGTCCTTCAGCCTTAGGATTTTGTTGGCTGGTTGCTAAAAACTTAGGTGAACAGTTGTATTATCATAGTTTTTATTTTCTTAGCGTAAACAATAAACATTTGTTCTCCTTTTGCGAGATACACTGCTCTTAGCACCTCATCACCAGTTTATAGTCTATTGCTTATGATGTAGCACTTGATTTACTTAGGAGAACTTGAAGCAAACCGCAGACAGCTACAATTCCAAGTAAGTACGTGTGTACTATCCAATTATGTTAAAATAATATTTAGCTGAACGCATAACATGGAGAATTAGAGCCATGCCTAAAGTGCACCACTATATGCCTTACTGTGTTACTAGTAAGACAGCCTTCTGATGAGAGAAAACACACTGCAGATCAACTGTTCAATCTATTTGGTGGAGCCACAGGAAACACCCAACACTTGTTTTTACTGAATCACTTAACACGCCCAAGCTTTTAGAAAAGACCTAGGGATTTAGGGTCTTCCTAAAATATTGCACATTTTGAGGTCTTATCTTCTGAAATTGGCTCCTCCAAATCTCTAGCCAATTAAAAATTCTTACCTTGTGGAAATACAGGAAGGTAATTCAATTAGCCATTAACTCATTTATCAAGAATGTTTTCCATCTCTAGCAACAGACAAACACATGATCCTGCAGAGCAGTACAAAATGAACCATCAAAGAAGAGGAATTGCACTAATCTTCAATCATGAACACTTTTTTTGGCATTTAAAACTGCCAGACAGACGTGGGACTTTGGCAGACAGAAACAATTTGAAACGCAGGTAAGAAACTGGTTTCTCTGCTCATGCTTAAAACAAATCTAAACTGCAGAAATCATAGTCAAATAAACAGTTACCTAAATCTTGTGTTTTGAGTAGAGACCAAAAGATTTTGTAGACATAAGCATCTATGCAACTTTGGTACAGAAAGCTGTAATGAAAAAGCTTTAAGGCACATTCCTTTACGTCACAGAAACTGCTGGAACAAGTGCTATGATTTGAGTGAGTCCAGAGCTTTCTTTGGACAAATTCTTTCAAGTAACTGTAGGTATTAGACCTGTACTTGACACCAGTCTGAGTTCAAAATCATCTTTAGTTGTGTTGGGGTTTTTTGTTTGGTTGTTTTGTTTTTTTTTTTTAACAAATAATGCATAAACATGAATATTCATTCTCTCAGAGGGAAAGCAACTGACATATAATTTGAGCAAGATTTGTACTAATACTGATGTGTTTTATTAATAGTTTGACAGACCTTGGGTTTGAAGTCAGAGTTTTTGATGATCTGAAAGCAGAAGATGTGCTGCAGAAAATTTATGAAGGTAGGAGACTATACAGTGATTATGTCTTTGTAGCAGAATTTCCAGATATCTTTTCTTCCATTCTATTTATCTAACTCTAACCGAAAATAGTTTTTGTGCACAAGGAAGTTCTTTAATATTAGAAGGACTTAAAAGTTAGACTGCAGATTATTTTATTGCAGTGTAAGGGAAACTTCTGTGGAAAAACTAAGGAAGTCACTAAAAGATGAAAGAAGGTACTTGCTGCTGGGAGAAGTTAGTAACATTCTTCTTTTTACGTTTAGTGGCCCATCAGCCATGCTGAATCAATGCACCTTCAAATCTGCAGTATTCTTCTAAATTATACAAATGTACAATGTTTTTAACCTCAAGATGACTGTTTAGTCATTTTGACTTATTTCAGCCTCTACGGATGACCACAGTAATGCTGACTGCTTTGTTTGTGTGTTCCTGAGTCACGGTGAGGATGATCACGTTTACGCATATGATGCCAATATCAAAATTGCGACAATCACAGACATGTTCAGAGGAGACAAGTGCCAAAGTCTGGTAGGAAAACCAAAGATATTTATCATTCAGGTAAGATGTCTGTTTCTGAATTCAGTGGACTTAACACTGACCTGTGTCTTCCCACAACACAGATGACAGTTTGCTGATGCAGTCTTTCCACAGGGCAAATTGTTCCTTAAAGACATTTAAGACAAGGACTCTTAGAAACCTGTATGTACACTACTGTTAGTATCATGATTATAGCTGCATTTAGGAAGTAATTTTATGAAGAGAAACACAAATCAAGCCCATGTCAGATTGACTGTCAGTGTATATTTAATGGCAGAGAAGGCAGTACCATATTTTTGGGAAAGTTCTCAGCTCAGTTCCTACTGTTCACACCTCATAGCCCTAGACTGGACTGTGGGAGGCTATCAAACCTCTGTAACTTCATTGATTCCTTCTAGGCAAGTCCCTTTAATTGATCCTTATTGAAGTTGGGATTTGTGTTTTGTTTTTCTGTTTGGTTCTTTTGGTTTTTTGTGGACATGTCGGTTGGTTGGTTGGTTTTTGTGATGGTAGTGATTTGTTTGGGTTTTTTTCATTTATGACCAATACCTGGCATCTCTGTAGACTCTAAAGAATCAATTTAAGGATTTATTGTCTCAGAAATAATTTTTGTGATAAGTGGTCAAATAAAGCCCATATGTAACCTTCTGTTTCACTTCTTGGTTCAGGGGATAATGCAAGCTGTCAGGCACCTCAGAAAATCTCTGTTCAAGCCTCCTGTTCAAAGCAGAGTCATGGGATCGTGCAGGGCTTATCCAGATTACAGTCAGCAAACTCATATATGAACCTGGCCTTCAGCAGATTGTAACTGTAGCAGCTACAGAGTAATCCTAAGGATTATCTTTTTCTCTAAATTAAAGCTTCCTTAGGCACAGGGCTGCTGCAAGAATCAGCATCGTTAATTCACCTTTCATTAGGAGTCATTCAGCTTTCCTTTATTATTTTTTAACCGGGTACCAAACATGGAAAAATATTTTCATATTTCAATTTTAAGTAATACGTGGAAACACTGATAACATATCCTCATAAAAAAAGCTAATTAACCTAGTTCATCAGCTGAGTTCTTTTACAGAACAACTGGCATAGCATTTACCTTTGGAAATTAGAGGAAACAGCCAGATGGAACTTCATCACTGTAAAGATTTTTTGTGTTTTCTCTTCTTAGTGGTAGTTCTTAAGTAATGCTTCTTACTTTATCTTTTGACCATGTTCTCACCTTATCCTCCCCATGCAGCTTTTCTGCATCACTGACAACACTGGGCTCACTTACTGACTTCTCACAAAAACACCCTCCATCAGCTAACACATTTGAGACTGAACTAAGAGCAGAAGTGTAACATTTGCATGTAATGATGTCTGTGCATCAGAACATTAATTCAATGCTGCCTTGCCAGCATGTCTCAGGGAGGCAGTTCTTCCTCTCTGCTCAGCACTGGTGAGGCTGCATCTGAACTATTGTGTCCAGTTCTGGGTTTCCCAGTACAAGAAAAATACAGATTTAGTGCAGTGAGTCCTGCAAAAGGCCACAAAGATGATTAAGGGACTGGAGCATCTCTCATATGAGGAGAGGCTGAGAGAGCTGGGACTGTTCAGCTTTGGAGGAGATGCCTCAGGGGAACCTTATCAATGTTATAAATACCTGGTGGGAGGAAATAAATAAGAGGGAGACAGGCTCCTTTCAGTGGTGCCCAAGTGATGGGACAGGAGGCAACCGGAATGAATTAAAACACTCAAAATTCCATCTCAACACAAGAGAACACTTTTTTACTGTGGGGGTAGTCAAACACTGGAAAAAGTCACCCAGGCAGATTGTGGAGTCTCCATCTATGAAGATACTTGAAAGCTGACTGCACATAGTCCTAGAGAGCCTGCTATAAAGCAAACCTTGCTTGAGCCAGGCGGTTGGACTAGGTGATTTCAAGAGGTCCCTTCCAGTCTTAGCAACTCTGAGATCATCTCAGAGCTTTCAGTGGACTTCATCACCAATATTTTAACTGATAGAGAAGTAAACGGGTCTTTATGATCCAGACTCATGGTAATGTGGGACACCTAACTGAACAGATGTCCCCTCTGGTTAGTGTCAGAAGTATCACATTAAACACAGGTGAGCTTGGCAGAGGTGGAAGCCTAACAGCACTTCTTACCAACAGGCATGTCGAGGTGATAAACATGATGATCCAGTTATTGCCTATGATTCAACAGACAGTAGCACTGGCAGTGAGACTGAAGTGGATGCAGCTGGTGTCTATACTCTGCCCGCTGGTGCAGACTTTATCATGTGCTACTCTGTGGCACAAGGTAAGTTCTCATATTTTTACATCCAGTGTTCAATACTTCACTATAACAGCCTTGAACACTTCTTCATTTTGCTGTCAAAAGAATGAGAACAGTTCCAGGTCATCTGTTTTACATGTCTGGTGAGTTAACAACTTGTCTGAAAGAACCTTACATGTTAAAGTGAAAATAAACTATCGAGGTTGCAGTTAATTTGCCAAACAGAAACATTCTCATCAATCTTCCTGCTGAGCTGTCTGCTGATAACAAGCATTCCCTTCCATTCCAGGATTGTAGGATTCTGGTGGCTTATACCTTTCCCTGCACTATATAGCTGTTCTCTCTAGTTTTCCATTACCTTGTTCTCACTCCCATCTGCTCTCTTGTAATGTGCAGATACAGTCCTGTAAACTATCAATCCCTGAATCATATTCCTCTTAGCTGAGCTCTGTAAGTGATCTCAAAGCCATTTCCCATCTACAATTTCCAGTGAAATTACATAATTGGCAAACTAAGATCTATACCCATTAGTAATCCCTTACAGATGGTAGCTAGCAAACAGTGACTCTCATAAATATTTTTCCAAGGGTCACCACTACTTACATTTCGATATTATTTTATCTTTCTGTTCTATTCTCAGGCTACTATTCTCATCGTGACACTCTAAATGGCTCCTGGTACATTCAAGATTTGTGTGAAACACTTAAGAAGCATGGGTCTTCCTTGGAGTTCACAGAACTTCTTACTGTCGTTAACAGGAAAGTATCTTACCGCAAAGTGGATGTGTGCAGAGACATTAATGCTATAGGAAAAAAACAGATTCCTTGTTTTGCCTCAATGCTAACTAAAAAACTGTATTTTCATCCAAAATCTTGAGTGGATTGTTGTTTAGCAATGATGACCATTAACTACTGCTTGCTGCAGAAATGAAAACACCATCTTAGTTCAGGAAACTAATACTCTACAAGATTGTTTGCAAAATCACTGGAATCAAATGGTATAGTTTGATAGATTTTAAAGCCTTAATGCAATTTTAAAGCTAGTATTACAGCTCAGGGAATTTGGGAAAAGTTGACTGGTCCAAAATTCTTAGAAGGTGCTCAGATTTTATTGAAATTGATATCTAGATTACCTTTTTCTAAAAAGCCTTTTCCTTGATTGCCATATAACTATGGCACATTTTACCATTTCCAAAACATTTCCAATGTTGCATTAGATTAATTTATCTTGCTCCAAGAGCACACTTTATAGGGAATAAGTTTGTAGGGCATCTTTTTGGATTTGTGGAAGCAGCATCCACCTTGCAATTTATTGAGCTTTTTGGACATTTTTTTTACTATTTTCTCTCAACACTAAAAAGGAATTTAATTCCTTGAGTACAATTGTAGCATTAACATAGGGTTAATTAATAAAGGGTTTCTTTTTACTTGAACATCATTTACGGTTGGGGCACAATTACAGCTTGCTGGTGCTTTGAATCCTCAGGAGAAAAGCAAGCAGTAGTAAAATGGGACCTTAGCATGACTTTGGGTAAGTTTGCCTTGTACATATCTCTAAAGCTAAAGCTGCTAGACACCTTTAGTCAGCTCTGCAAAATATAACATATGCAAACCTTCACACTTCAGGCCTTGGTGTTGGATCAGCCTCTTCCTTCTCTTGGCTCTGGAGAAGATCAGTTATACTCTGTCATTGTGTACATAAAAGTGATAGTCACAATCAGATTGTTACTACTGCTGCATCAGCAATTGCAATGACAATGACCATGATACTTGACTAGAAGTGAATATTTCTTTTCTTTGGGTTTTTGTTTGTTTGTTTGTTTTTATATTATTGGTACATACGCTTAACCCTGAGGGACAATGAAGAACTCAAACTGAGCAAAATGTTTTAATCCACTTTCCTGGGGATAAAACAACTGATTTATTGCCTCTGCTTTGTTGAGTCTTCCCATATACTACGTTCTGAATCATAGATGTTAAATCTTACTATGGCTACTTTTAAGCTTTACATAAATCATGTATGTTTAAATGTTTTGATTTTTTTTCAATAAAATGCGAAAAATTATTTTATATTGTTTGAGATACCTTGTTTTTCCAGCAATATTTACTAAAAAAAGCTTACCTGTAGATCAAGTCTGACCTTCATCAGCGGGTGTTACACCAGAGTCAATGCAAAGAGCTAGGGAAAAGGAAACAGCAATTGTTGGAAAAGAAGCCTTAATACTCAATGCAGGAATTCTTCTATGAGCTACTGCTCATAGTACATGGTACTAAAAAGATGGCCTTTGTTCTCTAAAACTTCCCTGTCATTTTACCAGCAGTCAGAATGCCTCCATTTGTACTAATGAAATTTGAAAAATATCTTGAAGATTTTGGGAAAAAAAAAAAAAAAAACACCAAAAATAAAAGAAACCAAAACCATCAAGTGACCAAATCATTTTAACAGATATTTATTGCAACTTTCAAAACTATAGTGGTCAAAAATACCCAGTTTCAATGGAGTAACTAAATGTTCGTATCAGCTTTGAAAGGGCAACTCCAGTATATACAAAAACAAAGTCAGTCCTTGTCACTGATTTCCTGGATGGGAAGCCTCAGGTGCAGAGGTTGGCGCAGACGCCTCAGGGATTCTTCTGCCTGCCAATACAAGGAGGAGTGAGAGTTCGTTATTGAAAGAGCAGGAGTTCATCCTCCTGCAGCCCTCCCTTCTCTCCTCTTTCACGCATTTGTCTTCTCAGAAGGCACTGGTCTCAGGCAAGAAACCAAACCAGTCAAAGGGAGGACGCTGAACATTTACAGAGTGTCCAGAGAGAAGTATGAATCCTGCTCGTCAACCCACTCACCCTCACCCCCAAGTATTATTTTCCTGAAATCACAATTACAAAGTTCATACTCACAGGCCACTGAAAAACAACAAACTTTAGCTTTATGTTAAATGTGGCTCATGAAATTATACCCTGAACTATGGGGTTTGAACTAAATTTAGAGGTAGTTCCTTTTTTCTTTTACTAGACATTGGACACAGGGCTGGCAAGATGGGATGGAAGAGTGATAACTGAGGGGTGAGAGATCTGCTAGACTTTGTCATGAAGGCCAAAAAGTTTGTCCTTGGTACACACACCACTTTTTCCATCCAGTTGCCCATATTCTGTAGAACTAAGCCTTTTACCTAAGGCATAGGATTATGATGTCAAATGCTGAACTCTGCAAGACAATCTCCTTCCAAGGAAGGAATGAGACTGTTACCACAGCAGTGCAGCAAACATACTGTGTCCAGAAGCAATGCAGTTACTCTACTGAAATGGTTAAAAAATGCAACATTAATTAGAGTATGCAAAAAATAGGCTGATAAGCTGACTTACTTGTTTTAAAATAAATTAATGAAGGTCTCCCTTTCTGATGATTTACTAGAGTAGTTTATATGTGAATGGCAAACACTCTCTGGTTATCTGAACAGCTGAAACCGGCTGATAAGCAAATACACTGTTTTGAATGTAAGTAGCAAACCTTAAGGTCAATTTTCTGTTAGCTGAGAGTTTACTGAGAAAGTCTTAAGCCAGAAGCTACCTCATTATTCAAGAACTGCATTTAAATACCTCTGCTAGGTCGTCTTTGAGCTTGTTGTATCGTTCCACATTAAAATGCTGTTTTTTGGACTTCCGGTAGAAGTAGTGGAGAAACTGTCTGTCCTTGGCATGAGGGTAAATGTAGTCCTGGTGAAGGAAGGGGGACATATATATGGGGTTATCAAGAAAACTTAGTAGAGGTCAGAAGATTAGAAATTCAGCCTGTTTCAGGAATACTTATCTAGTTCAACACACACCTATGTTCTGTAAAGAGGCCACACATGAAGTTATGCCCTTACAGGTCATAAGGGCTTTTTAGACACATGGTTGGAATAATTTCTATCATGTCTGAAGGAATTTTCAATTGTAATAAAGACATAGCATGATCTTCATGACTGGAGCCACCGGAGTAAACAGACACTACCTTCAAGGAGTCGGAGGAAGTTCAGGTACTGTTTCTCACAGACTTTTTTTAAAGTTTTATGACACCAGCAGCTGTTCAAAAGAGCCAAGTAGTAATCTCTTTATTTACTCACAAAAATTAGGAATGCCTTAGCCCTTCTTGAAACACAATGAGAAGGAATAAAACTCGCACTCAGAGCCAGCTCTTCATAAAAACAGACATGTCTCTCCTTCTCACTAAAGGAACTCAGTGTCTCACAAGGTCTATAGATCCACTTGTATTATGGAAAAAAGTGTTGGCTACTCTTCCACAATACTTACACAATAAAAGTTTTGCATCACAGAAAGTTCAACATCAATATGCCTACTTTGAGAGTAAAGTACAGAGCTAAAACAGGAAAAAGAAACATTTGTCAAAGTCTCACAGAATAAGTCTGTACTGTGAAGCTCAGTTATGATCTGAGCAAGGTTTTTTTGTTCTACACAATGCCTGCTTGCTGCTCCACTTAAGTTGTCCTAGATTCACCTCCATTCATTCAAAGCCACAGAAAAGCAGTCAGATTATGAAGAGCAAAGCAACAGCTTTTTTTCAGGCACTAAATAAGGTATATTTTAGTAACACAACTGCCAGCCTTCCAAATGGTTTGGTACTCTGCACTGTTTATACATAAACTCCAGCAAATAAAAGCTGCTGTTCAGTGATGTTCTCCTGTAAGGCAGTGTTCACAAACTGTCACAGCAATAGTAGTCGCTCTGCCTTTACAGCAGTGAGCAAAGTTGCATTTACTATGCAAAGTGATCTACAAATATTTTAAGGGAGAGACTTCTTTCATCACTTCTCGTTCCCTAGATTATGAAATCTTACAGATAGTAGTTATGCTCAGTAGCTGGTCTGCAGTTCACATGTAACAGCACCTGGATTAATTCTGCATCATGTAATGTTTGTATCCAGCCCCATTAGGGATCAAACAAGTCCTTGATTGATGGCAAGGCTACTTACTAAACTCTATTTTCATCAGAGCCCAAACATTGTGATTTTCACAGTCAGTTTTCCTCCTTTTCAATATTCCAGACACTACAAGAAAAGGACTTACTTGCTTAGTAAGAACAAAGTAGGCATAGAAAGCCATGGCACTCCCGTAAGTGATGAAGTACGTGACTGGCTCCATGATGTCCCACGAATAGACCCACCACGTGAGCCACGCCAACGCTCCCCCTTGAGTTGACATCAGAGCTAAGCCAACCCATAGAAGCCTGGAGGTCTTTGCATCTGCACTGTTCACGATTCTGGCTTTCATCTAAGGAAAAGAAATACAGCAAACATGAGTGCTCCTCTGATTAGCAGATTGCCAACTGTGTTTTCTCGTGCTGGGCTAGATCCTTTTTCAGGATCTCTTACTGACACCTCTTACTGACTGAAATCCAAGAGCAACCAGATCTCCTTGCTTTTGTGCGCCAAGAAATCCTGCTTTTAAATTTGTCCTTTCAACTGCTAGGGATCTATGTCTACTGGATTTCCATTTACCATTCCAGGCAGTTCTGGGTAACACTGAGACTGGTCCTCATAAAGCAGGAGTCCTTTTGTCCACTAGCCTAAGCCACACATGATGTCAACCCTACTATTGAGTTTTTCTCTCAGAACTCCTACAGCAACAGGTGACTAAATGACCTTTCAATCTCAATACTAGCCATGCTGAGGCTTGTTCACTACAACTTTTTCTCCAGGTGTTGTGATTTCTACCCAGTGAATGTCTGGAACAGGAGGGAAAAGAACTGAATTGAAAATAATTTGAATTCTACTTGAGCTGACATTTGTTTTACATAACAAACAGAACAGACACACCCTCGCCATTCATGCTGATTTTCTTTCATCACAGGACTTATTCTTGATGAAAGGAAATACTTTTGAGTTTAAAAAAGAAGTAACCCCACTTTCCAACCTGTTCAAGGGGCAACAGCTCTTCTTTCAGGTGATCCACTTTCTGTAGCAATTCTCTCTCTTTCCTGATCTGGTGATCTTCTAAATGTAGAGCCACAAACAGTCTGTGAACCAAGGATTTGATATCTTCCATTTCGGTAGCATGTTCACTATTCAGCTTATCTGAAAGAAAATATTTGTCATATAAAACACTTCAAGAACCCACCCTTCTTCATTCTCTCCCTACCTCCAACCCCAAAAGCAGGACTATCCAGCGTTAAAATAAGAAAACCAAAGAGAAATACCTTTCTCCAGACAGGTTCCACTTTTCTGAGACTTCACATGCCTTTCACTAAATGAAGTGAGATAATCAGTTATTAAGGACTGCTCTTACCTTTTACAGGAGGTGACACACTGTATGCTGTGTCGTTGATAACAAGTTTAAAGTCATTCATCAGTAAGACCTCCATCAAGGTTGCCTCAGAGACCTTGCTACCATCTGCAGAAGAAAGATTTAAGTTCTAGATCACTTACTGCAAAGAGTCTTAAACATTAGGGTTAATGTTTAAGAGTTAATGTGCTGTAGTTCTTCATTAATAATGTTTGGAAGGGAACTGTACTTTCAGAAAAACTGATACTAATACTAAACATTAAGGAGGAACACATGGTGTGATTCTTGGGGCTGATCTGTATAGAGCCACGAGCTGGACTTTGATGATCCTTGTGGGTCCCTTCCGACTCAGAATATTCAGTGATTCTGTGACACCAACACAGTGTACCTGAATGCTTACTCTAGTGGTGTCATTTGGACTTGTCCCTACTATGAGCAGACTTGCATTTTCTTGTCTGATTATTAGGACTAGAATTGATCCATTAGTGAGGGCAGAAGAAAAAGAAATTCTGAATAAACCAGCAACAAATTCCAACATAAGGATCTGCATTTTTGTTTCTCCAGGCACACACAAGTTTGCATCTTCACTGCGGTTTTGGGCAATTAAAAAAACCTTCAAGGACCTCATCTTCAGTTTCAGATTTATGTCTTTACTTAAACAGGCTCTTCAAGTCAAAAGCAGCAATTCCCTTCAATAGTGGTGTTCAGATTTTTATTACTGGTTTTTAAAATCAATCATTCTCTTTTGCTATCAGTGACTGGAAGGTAAGAACTAGATAGCTACACTGTCCAGTAAAACGCAGACCAGGAGCCACAGAGGCATAGCTCTGGAGAACCCTTTTCTACTTCTTTATGATGCAAAAAATTATATGGATGGTACCTCATGGATTTTACATGCAATTTTACAGCTCCTACTGAAAAGGAACTTCTGGACTCATTAGCATTAACATGTAACAGTGGATGCCAAGAGCTCACCAGGGTTCAAATGGCCCAAGAACCCCCAGAGCCCACACCACTGCTGCTGGACACATCACTGTGGTACGGGGTTTGAAAACCCCCATGGAGCAGCTGCTCTACAGTACCTGTTTGACATGGTTTTCCTTTCCTATACAATAAAAAGGGCATCTTCCCCTATCCCTGCCAAGAGCTAAAGCAGTGGTGCAAAACAGCAGCTTTGCTCCCGAGATGAATAATGAACAGGATACAAAACACTACGACTTTTGTATGTAAATATATGTCACAGTGCTACTTCCCCAGCTCCCACATCGTGCCCACTGCAGAAAGGCACCACAGATGACCCCACACCTCCAATTATTTATTCACCAGGGCTCTGTCCTCAGGCCCCATCTGCTGAGGCTGAGACTGCTGAGCTCTGCCAGCTAATGCACCAGCTGGCTCGCCCGCCCACTCTGTGTGGGTAAAGCAAGCCCAGAAGGCTATCACTCTCAATCCAGAATATGAAATTTTAATGTGCCCATCCACTCATTTCTTTTTTCTTTTGCAGTGTAATAAAGCATCAAAGCTTATTAAGGTGACATTTATGAAGTGACATTTAAGCAAAAAATGCTTTTCAAAAGAAGTGCCAGACAGGCTCTTTGTTCTGGATGTGAAACGCCACCAATTTATTAACCTGTGCAACCTCTTATTAACTGAAAAGAAGAAAAGTTTTGGGGAAAGGGAGGCATTTTATTTAAGAAAATTCCCCACAGGCTTTCAGCAAAGGCTGCTTTCAATCCTTGACCTAAACACAAGTGTTCCAATGTGGACAAAGGGCCATTTTTTGTCTACCTAAGTTTTGCAGGACCAAAACCAAATCCAAAGAAAATGAAAGCAAGTCATCATACACAGCACTGATACTTTCAGTTATGTTTAGCTTTCATTTAATGGCTAACTGACACAGAAGTGTCTGCATTAAATCAAGGTTTCATAATTTATCATTAATAATAAATGTTTAAAATCAACTCTCAGTAGTTGACCAATAGTTTCTCTTTACAGTATCAGTTTCCTAATAAATTAAACATTTGAGCTGTTCTCTAACATTACAATTGCCCAGTACTTGACAAATACAGAGCAGAGAACTGTCTGACAGTCACTGTTTTAATCAAAGTGGACAATGTTTCTATTCCAAAGTCGGAGGTGGAGGGGTGTGTGTTTAAACAGATGAGACAAGGTGAAAACGACTCAAATTCCTCTTCACTTTGGAATCTGCTGCCTCTCCATGCCAAAAATGCTAGACTTCTGTGATTCACTGCTGAATTGCATTCTTCTGTGGTATGTCAAAAAAAGGTAACCACTCCTGCTTCAGTGCAAACATCAGTCACTTTCAAAGCATGTAATTCACAGAAGAATTCAATTCGGCAGTAAATCACAAATACTCCTGTCCTGGATGTCTCTGCACAAGAGCAGTACCCAGAGGTTAACTTGTTTGCTGGCAAATGTTCTGTCTCCCCCCAGTTAAGAAATCCTTGGTAGTGAAAAACTTCCATATTAAGAGGAAGGCCAGCTGCTGAAAAAAGCCATTTGCTACAGTGGCTTCTGAAGATAAGAGTCTTTTAGGAAATTATCTTTTTCAAGAGAACTTTCTACTTTTGCTGCCTAACAGACCCTAAAAAAAACCACTGAAAAAACACCACCAAAGTTCCTGTGTACACAAAGCTCCTGAAGCTCATGCACACACTGGGATCCACACACATCACATCTCCATTGCTCCAGAGGATATAAAAAATGTCTCTATGGGATATTTTCCTGTTTTACTAAATGTGCTCTCAAAGGCAACTAAAACAGCTTCTCCTATATCTCTGGCTTCCTAATCTTCTGGGAACATCAGTCTATTTTCAGTTCCCTTAAAAGTCCCTGCAGCCCTCTGCAGTATCAACCAGAAAGAAAAGGAATGTTATGAATGCACCCAGCTATGAAACTTTCGACCAGCATTCCTTGACCCCATCCTTTCTTCTGCTTATGTGTTACCTGATGGAAAATAAATCTTTCCATAGGAATGTAGCTATCTTTTTTTTTCCTTTATCTCTAGAGGCATAAGCAGGGAAGGAGAAAAATAGATGCTTTTAGTAAATCAAATTCAAGTCCCAATTCTACCAGATTCAGATGAAAAAGCTATACCACAATTCTTCTTTTGAGATTGAGTCCTTCTCTAATACCAAGACAGGGGTTGCAAGACTGTTCACAACTGCTGTGAAAAAACTACAAAGCACTGCCAAAATACAAATCAAGTTGTCTTGGAAATAAAATGGAGAACCAGATTAACTTTTATCAACAGGAAAACCAAAGAGACAAAACACAAGAACAGAGTGAGTACAGCTTGAGATAATTATCTAAAGACTTGGGACAATGGGATAAACAGTATGCTATAAGGAGGAAAGAGCATATCAGTGCAAAAATATCAGTTAGCCTTTAACCCTAGCAATCACTTTCTTTTCAACCCAAAGGCCTCAAAGTATTGTACCCCAGGTGATGAATGAAATGTCCCCAAAGTCTCCAAAAGCTGCCCTTCACTATTGCACTCATTATCTGGTTGCTTAGCTCTTTTGTATGAGTTCAAGTTTGTAGTAAGGCAAATGGATTCTTCCAGCTCTAGGTAACACTGAACAACTGGCAGACATCACATTCAAGACCCCGACAGGTTGTCTTTAAGAAGGATCATGGAGGACAAGGAAAGAAAAAGGTATCAAGGAAATCAGAAGAGAGATACATATTTAAAGACAGAATTACAAAGAGAGGCCAAACTTCTAATTTTTAATTAGCTTTTCCAAGAGGACTGAGATACTAAATTTGAAACACAATAAACCCCAGAAGCATTCAAGAGCTACCCCAAAGCAACAATGCTAAAACTGATGGAAGAACTGAACTCATGTGTCAGAAGGGAAGTACAGTCCATTTGAAAAGAAATGGATTTATTTTGGGGAATAACAAATATAAAATACCTGTTGCAAAGACTTCTGCTCGCTCAATTCCTTTATCTTCTCTTCGCACATCCTGCAGGAACGCTCCTACAGTGGTCACCACTGGCTTAACAGTGAACTGACAGCGTTCACTTCTTGTGGGCAGCATAAGAGTTATCACAGGAAGACCATGTCTGTAATTAATAGTTACTTCTGGGGGATAGAAAAAAAAAAAAGACAACTAAGTGAAAAAGTCATATTGTAGGCTGTAGTTTAATTTAAAAGCTGCTTTTAAAACACAGTATGAATTAAGGAAAATTACACAAAACATTCTAGATTTTTGAAATCAGTATAGTACGTCTATTTCTGGGAGATATATAGAACCACGTAACTAACATCATCTCACCTGACCCTCACCAAAAAAAAAAAAAAAAAGCTTGCTGACATTGATGGGAAGGGAGAAACCCTGCTGGGAAAGCTTACCATCAGATGGCACCAGTGTGCTGTACGGTGCTCCTTCCCGGCCCCTCCAAGCTCCAGCGTTCCTCCAGAGCCACACCTGCAGCACGGACACAGGAGAGCTTGTTTAGAAAGGTCAGGACGCAAGATATATCTGGTTAAAAGCAGTGACCCGGCCAGTCACGCTGATCTGCTTCTGTGTGATCTGACATCAGAGGTGTCCGTCTGAAGAAAAAACCCTCACTTAGCAATTCTATGTAGAAGATTAAACCGTCCTGATAGAAAGAACAATCACTGCCAAAGGTATTAAGGTATTGGCCATACATAAACTTTTAGTCTAGTATGGTTTAACTAACTCAAGGAAATAAGGGAAGGGGAAGGAAAGAAAAGGAAAAAAACTGCAGTGTTTCTGAAGGGCTTCATGCAACTCCTACAATAAAACCTCTCCTCTCCCCCTAAAACAGCCATAAGTATGGTTTCAGTGAAGATTTTACTGCTCAATCATAATCACAAATAAAATATAAGGGACGGAGATCACTACTGTTTGCTTCACAATCATATACCAAAAGCTAGCTGTTGACATTCATGCTGTTAAAATACAGCTTGTCCAAGTAGAGATGATTTATTTTTAAGTTTTAAGTAGGAATGGCTACCGCTGCAACTGACACCGCCACCAGCCTCTGGTACCACACTGAAGAAGGCACACCCAGATGCAATAAGAGTCCTCGATGCAGTGGCACAGGGATGGCAGCAGGGTTTTGGAACCTGCATGGTTGTGCTCCCACGCTTGTCCCTTCCAGAGGCACTGGTGAGAACCATCACAACACAGAAGACAAACCGCTCTGATCAGACCGATTACTTAAAGCAGTCCCTCCACGCTGTGGAACGTGCAACACAAAAGTCTTTGCTGCTACAGCGAATCCCCCTGCATAGGGAGAGAACAATTTTATTGCAGTGAACCTACACAGGTAGAAGGGAAATCACATCCTTGACTAAATTGGTTACAAAAATTGTGCATGGGCTGGACCAAGGCCTGGGATTTGAAATATGGTAGTTGAGGGGAGTACAAAACAATGCAGAGAGAGATGACAAGGGCCAATCCTCCCTCTGGTGAGCTTTATAGCTCATCTTTCTGAAGGTCAAAACACTTCAGAGTCTACAAGATAATATCCTTTGACAAGGCAGGAAAACAAAGCTACAGGTACAAGAGGCCCTGCCCATTCAGTATGCCAAACACTGCTCACCAGTTCACATGATTTATTTGTTTTTAAAGAATCACAAGCTTGACTGTTTGGGTAGGAATATAGTATTAGGTTAAATAAAAGAATCATCTGTAAAATGAATCTGTAAAATGATGCTGACGTTGCCCCAGCTTTTTACCTGGAACAAGCACTCTTCAGGTTTTAAAGAAAATAAGTAATTCTGGGCGTTTCCAACACTGCAAAATTTGTGTGTTGTAATCTTCAGGTATCAAAGGCAGTCAAAAGCCTCGACAAAATAACCAAGTACCTTAAACACAAGAGCATTAATTGAAAGAAAGGAAGACATAAGGAGTGCAGAAATGCTGAACGTCACCCAGGGCCAGGACACATGTGGCAACTTGTCCGTTTTCTTCAGCAGAGCAAGAGACTTTCCCTGGAGCAGAGCAGGACTCACAGCCCAGCTCACCAGTTCTCACCCCATTTACAAGGGACACCTACACCCCCAAAACATTTAGTAACATCCAACCTAGAGTACAGAGACAACTTTCAACATACGATTTGCTTTTCCACAAAAGAGTCTGAAACACACAGGTTAGAACAGTCCACAGTAAAACTCAACAGCTTTGAATGTAACAGCAAATGTGTTGTTTCTTCAGAGGGATATACAAGGGATAATAAGGAACTCATTTTTTACAGACTCTTGATATGTAACTTTGAAATCAATACCTTGGTATTGATTGTTCAACACGCCCCAGGCAATGGGGCCCCAGCCAGCCTCTATTTGAAGGTTACTTAATTTCTTTTGTTGTCAATTTGGGTATCTGCTTTACTTATGGAAGAAACTGCATTCAACGATTAATATATATTAAAATATCTAAATATATTTAATATATTAAGTTAAAAATACTTATTAAATTGAACTACATTTATTGAAATAAGATCCTTACAGTAACAATTCTATCATTCTTTAGATTTTGACATTACCATTCATAATCCACTGAAAGAATCTCTATATCCTGGAGCTTTTTTTTTTCTATTTTAGATTATCTGTTAATGCAGCCTATCCATTAAAATCACCTGCAAAGAATATGTGAAGTATAACAAAAGCAAAAGCCACAGAGCCATGGAGTTGAACTGATTTCCAAATAATTAACTTTCCACATAACCTCCAGGTTGATTAATTGGTAAGTATGAAGGGCTGGGTTAATTTTCTCCCTATGTTTCCAGATTTAAAGCTCCAGTTCCAGTGAAGTTACTGAACCATTAGCTTGTGCCCTACAGCCAAATCACTGTGCCCCTTTTGAGATACTTGCAATGACCTCTATCTAACCACTAGAAAAGAAATGTTAGTCAGCAAGCACCGCAGCTAGAAGGAACACAAACTACAGGACCAAAACAATGAGACTGCCCTCATGGCAACATCAGTGAGAGCTGGAACAGGAATATGTAATCTGAACTAACTGCAGCACAACTTTAACTTAGAGATACTGTAAGCAGGACAGCAAACTACTAACTCTTTCATATGCCAGCATGTGCACCTCTTGCCTAATTCATCTAACCATGCAAAGGCTAAAGAAAGCCATTCCACATCTTTCTGCAACTGGAACGCACATGTGGCAGGACTTCTGGATAAAACACCTCGAATGCAATCACAGTTACATTCAGGAATCGAGCTGAAAGCTCATGAACAGCATTTATCCGTGAAACACCCTTTCTACCTCAGATATATTTGCTTCCTAAAGCAAAGCGCCTGGGATCAGCAGTCAGCCACAGCACACCACATTTCTTGACTCAGTTGAAGGCATGGACTCTCCAGTAAGTTAAAATTCATGAGAATTTAAAGCACAGAGTGTTAACTGTGATTAAAAAAATCCAACATATCCTGTTTTATACCAACTGGCATTTTTAAACAGAAAATATATACTGCCGGTCTCTAACAACAGAGAAGTTGCCACTGTTAAAGTAGGAGTGGAAATTTCAACAATCTGGTTTTCCAGCACAGCTTTGGGGACTACTGTAACAGCATAGCTGAGCTGGAAAATTAAGCAGCCAGACATGAAGAGTGGGAGAGATAGGAACAGAAATACTGCATTTTTCACTTTTGACAGTGGCAAATGACTGAACCTACCTACACTGCAGTTTCTGGAGATAGCTGTTCCAAATAAGCAATCTCTTCTGGTGTTGAGTGAGTGTTCCTTCAAACTTCTGCTCAAATTTACTTGTAACCAATTACGTGAAAGAAGTTGGTGTAATTATCAGTACATGAGGTGACATGAAAGCCTCTGTTCCTGAGCACTACATATGTAAATAGTAACCTCATCAGGAACCATAACTTCTGCTCTGTAAAGACTGTAAGGTGGGTGGAAAGACAGAGAGCAAGGAATAAAAATATTTTTCATATGAAGATGTGACCTTGAAAAAGGAATTCAACAAAAAGATGTCATTAGGACACTTTCTGAGAACACTGAATTATTGTCTTAGTTGGTTTATTTACTTTTGACTTGCCATACCAAAATGTTGTAATAAATCGGAATCAAAATGCAGCTACCCAACAATCACATATTTGAAATTGTTTTCTTTGCTTATATACATCTTGGAAAGTATGGCAGTTTTCACTTGTTATTTCAACAGCAAAAATACTTCTTCAACATCTGAGTCCCCATTAATTTGTATTTATTACTAGAAAGCTGTTTAACCCAATCAAAAAAGAGTCAGCTCAACTCTGTGTGCCCTCTTCTTAAGTGCCATGCAATACCACAATTGAAGTATTATATTCCTCCAGCATGAGATCCTGTCAAGATTGCCTCAAGTCAAACTCAGGAGCAGCCTCCACAAAAAATTATGCAGACTATTACTGTGAGTGCTATGGTCTCCAATATTCTCATTTCCTTCTCTCCCAGGTAATGATAAGAATTTGATATAGCAAAGCACAAGAAGCAAATGCACTACTCCAGTAAGCAAAGCTTTTTACCCTTAATCACACTGTAGCAAAACACATTCTAATTAAAACATATCTTGCAGTGTGCTTTTGAATAGTAATACAGTGTTATAGTCTTTCCCTTGGCAGGAGAGGAGAGGTCAGTTGTCTCCTGGAGTCCTTGTCCAACACCTGGTACAGCTCCCTCCACACATCTGCTGAAGGACTGGGGGAAGAACAGAAGGTAGGAGAAACATGGGGCAAACTAGTAATTGCAGTGCCTAAAAGTGAATTTGGGGGCATCTCTTTCCCAGTGTTACTGCATGAGCCAACATCCCCAGTATCCATCATTCTCATGTGCTGGTCTTGCCCAGTTTGTGAAGGAGAGGGCAAGACAAGTCTACTCTCCGGATGCTTCCTGCTTGTCCGGAGCAGAAGGAAAATGAGGGCAGGTATGTCTTAGCCACTGTTCAGTGAAGGCATGTACTATAAATAGCTATTTACATTTTCTACACTGACTTACATGTTTTTCTCCTTAGAGGTGCTCGGCATACTAATGACATCAGCTCCCATCTGATTCTCCAACGGAAACAGATTAATTAATTATGGACTAACAATCTGCAATTTCAGAATAAACTATCTGTGGACATTTCAGAATCGTTTAAAACCAAGGAAAAGGAGGAAAAAAACCCAGATGCTGTCACAGTCTACTGAGTTTGCAGATCTGGCACAACCAAGATTAACAAAATTAGTATTCAGACCAAGTTTGCAATAAGGACACATAAGGTATTTCCCTTTTTAAAATGAGTCACTAAAGTAATTTTGGAGATATCTGCTGTTAAATTTCTGTGCTGTTTTTATATGCAATCCCACATGATTAGGAAAATAAGACATAAGGAGCTCTAACAACCGCCTACAATCATCTTACAAGTGCCCGTTTGAGCTACAGAAACACCTTCTCTCTCTCATTAATTTTTAATT